TCTGCCAAATCACTGGCAAACCGAACCAAGCGAATGGCAAGGTGTGCCCCACTCGTTCCTATTCCAGCGGTACGCCTATCCGTTCGAACACGTCATTGTGGACTGCGTGGGGCCTTTGCCTAAATCTAAGGCTGGTAATCAGTTTCTGTTGACTATAATGTGTACTGCAACCAGATTTCCTGAGGCAATTCCTTTGAGAAAGATAACAGCACCTGTTGTAACTAGAGCACTGGTGAAATTCTTCTCTACGTTTGGATTACCAAAAGTTGTGCAATCAGATCAAGGCACTAATTTTCTTTCGAAAATTTTTACTCAAGTGTTGTCCAGCTTAAATATATCCCATAGGATCGCGAGCGCCTATCACGCGGAAAGCCAAGGGGCGCTAGAACGTTTTCATCAAACCTTGAAGTCAATGCTCAGAAAGTACTGCATGGAAACCAGTAAGGAGTGGGATGAGGGTGTGCCCTTGCTCCTCTTCGCGATCAGGGAGACAGTTCAAGAAAGTCTTGGATTTAGTCCTGCTGAGTTGGTGTTTGGACACACTGTCAGAGGACCTTTGAAAATGCTTAAAGAGGACTTGATGTCTTCTGGGGCTAGTCCATCACTGAATGTGTTGGACTATGTGAGCAAGTTCCGTGAACGGTTACATAAAGCTTGCTCGGTGGCGAAGGAGTCACTTGAAGTTGCGCAAAGGAAAATGAAACGTCTTTTTGACCGCAAATCTGTACAGCGTTCCTTTAACGAGGGCGATCAGGTGTTGGTGTTGCTGCCTATGGTAGGGTCGGCGTTATCAGCCCGGTTTTCTCCCCGCATACGCTCTCTCTTCACTGAGCCCCCATTTAATGTTACGATCACTGGCGGTCTAGGGACAGCCGTAACACTAAAATTTGTCGATGTATCACGGGGGAGAGGTAAATGAAAGGAGACAAGGCAGGCACGTTGTAAAAGAAAAAAAACTGGGGTTTTATTGTTCTCCCCGGACCCAGTCGAAAAGAGGGGGATAAGCACCCCTACCTGAATACATTGGGGAAAGAACGTAGGCGGCGCCAACTGAGAGAACCAAGTATAACCAAAACACCCCTACCTCGACCTACCCCTATCCAAAGAAAAAGGTCGAAAGAAAAACGGAGTCTTCGCGCACTCGGCGCCTACACCTCCTATCTAATAACAAAAATACAGGGGGTGGCGCTCACCTCTACCCTAGGGTGTCTATACACAGGACAACTACGGGCAGGATGTATATCGCGATATATTAACCTATCGTTCTTCTCCCCCCGGCGCGGTTGTGCAGCTGATGCCGCTGATGACACGAAAACACTTATCCAAACAGTCTGAAATGCACAACAATCTGGGTGCCGGAGAGCAGCCCACAATCGGCGGCCCTGAGCGTCAGCAATACGGAGAGGGGTTTCAGAGAATGAGCCCGCCGTCCCTCTTAAGCAGCGGCTCGTCTCCTGATTGGCCCTCGTCCTCCGCCCCACTGACGACCGATCCGCCAGTCACAGCGACCTAGAGGAGGGGCAATTCACAGGAAACCAATCAAAGTGTAATCAAACAATAAACAACACTCCTGCAGTGCACGGGGAACGTAACACACAATGACAACCTACAAAAATGACTATGTAAGAACTATTAAAACACAACGTAGTTAGAACAGCTTTAAACCTGCATTAATTTATTAAGGGCCAGTGCATGAAGCTGTAAACACAACATGGACATTTCATCACTTCATAAAGATGATATGGTGAACATTATCACGTGTGTGTGTGTTTAACATGTTCTACCTACATTACATTACATTACATGTCATTTAGCGGACGCTTTTATCCAAAGCGACTTACAATAAGTGCATTCAACCATAGGATACAAACTCAGAAAAACAAGAAACAAGAAAGTGCAATTTCCTCAAATACGCCTATTTACAATTTTCTATAGATGAGTGGCGTTACAAGTACAATTTAAGTGCTACAATTTGTTAGTCTTTAGTCGAGGTAGAGTCTGAAGAGGTGTGTCTTTAGTTTGCGGCGGAAGATGTGAAGGCTCTCTGCGGTCCTGGTGTCTTCAGAGAGCTCGTTCCACCATTTCGGAGCAAGGACAGCAAAGAGTCGTGATCTAGTCGAGTGTTTTGCTCCCAGTGAGGAAGGGACGATGCAGTTTTGCAGATGCAGAGCGGAGAGTGCGGGTCGGGATGTAGGGTTTGGTAGCCAGGGAAGAGAGCGGATGAGCGGAGGAGTGTGGGAGAATTTCGGAAGGTTAAAGACCAGTCGAGGTGCTGCATTCTGGATGAGCTGCAGAGGTCGAATGGCGGTAGCGGGAGACCAGCCAGGAGGGAGTTGCAGTAGTCCAGTCGTGAGATGACAAGAGCCTGAATCAGTACCTGAGTACCTGCGCTGCCTTCTGAGTGAGAAGAGGACGTATTCTCCTGATGTTGTAGAGCGTGTATCTACAGGATCGCGTTGTCGCAGTGATGTTGGGAGTCAGGGAGAGTTGGCTGTCGATTGTGACGCCGAGGTTCCTAGGCTGTTCCTGTTTTTTTTACATATAGTCGGTTCTTAAGGGGGGTATGCGTTAC